ATCTTGTCAACAAAATAAATCCAAAATTTTAACATTAATTCAAAAATTGACAAAATTTATAATTACTAATAACAATGAAATCTTAGAACACTTATCCATTTTGATATTTTGCTAAAACAGTGCAAAATATTAAAATGGATAAGTATTCTAAGATATTTTGCTAAAACAGTGACTTTCCCTGAATAAAATCTTAGAATACTTATCCATTTTGATATTTTGCTGAAACAGTGTCACATTTTTATATATTCATCGAATCAAAATCATTTTGTAAGAAAACATCACACTTTCTGTATTAAGCAAGTTATTTATAATGATGCAGTAGGAGAAAAACTCAAAAAACTTTTCCATCACATAACATCAAAACACAAATTTGGGATATGGGCACTTAATTTTCTGGACCGAAACAACTTTGAAGAATAAATTTAGAACCGAAGAAATTGACCACACTTCAATACCACTTTTGATGATGCCGTAAATCATTACCATACTTGTTGACACATTATTTAGATGTTACGATGACCTTGGCCTGACTGAGAATACAGATGAATAGCTTCCTTGTTCATTTATTCATTATTTAAACAGTGGCAGATTGGTTGGATACTCTGCATTGGAAGTTAAGATGAACACTTTACTCTTTTACTTCATCCATTCATTCAACGATGTGGAAATAAACTGCACTAGGAGTTCCACGCCTAGGGTCAAAAAGCGGCTGCGCCATTTTATTGTAATGAAACTGTCGTTCGATACTCTGCATTGGGAATTAGTTCCATGCACTTTTTCTGAAGAATTTACAAAATGAAGTACCATATTTGGATATTCGATGATATGTAACTTAATGAACGATGATCTTAGATAGAAGGGAGGGAGTCAGTTTTTAGTTATGGTTTACAATTTGATGATTGGTCAAGAGGCATCTGCATTAAGGATTACGTAAGATTGCATGATTGATGCAGTTTAGACTTAAGTGCTATTTTTAGGCCAGATACTAGATGAAGTTCCCAAATGAGATAGAAAATAAAAGAGGTTATAGTGAATTAAATTTAGAAGTTTGCTTTTATATTTTTTATCTTAATACATTGTTTTATATACACTGGTGTGCAAAAATTAAGGACGAATTCGAAAAATTAGCATATCAGCTGAACGAAGAGGCAGAGCGGACAGAAAGACCATTCAGGAGATTAAGTAAGGTGATGTACGGTAGCACATGCGCAGATATGCAGATAGACATAATGGGGGAGTGTCTGAGTAGTGTAAAGCATGTTGTCGGTGTAATATCAGTATTTCTGGCAAAGAGATTGCACGCCGTATAGCAGCTAAAATCACACCGAATTGCTGCCTCAGCGAGAAATGGCAAATAATCAATCTGTTAGATGACATCTGGATGCTTTTACCCGAGGTCGAATCATTGGGAAGTTGGAGGAAGGCCGCAGTATGACAAGTGTGGCTGCAGAGTTCGTAATTGCTCACAGCATCGTTTCACGACTTTGGAGACGATTTCAAACTACAGGAACAGCTATCCGGGGGTTTAGTAGTGGGTCGTCCACGAGGAACAACACCCGCAGATGACCGGTATATTGCCTTACAGGCCAGAAGAAACAGGCGGCAGACAGCGGGAGAAATCGCTAGACACACGACACAGGCGACTGGACGACCGATATCGCGTTTTACCGTGGCCAGAAGACTGCACGTTGGTGGTCTGTTTGCACGACGCCTTGTACGGTGTGTACCTCTAACGCCTGCCCATCGGAGAAGGCGTTCTCTGTGGTGCCGGGAACACCGGAATTGGAGAGACAATGAATGGAGTACTCTTTACAGACGAGAGCAGATTTAGTCTGAGTAGCGATTATCATCGCATACTCATCTGGAGAGAGTGGGGAAGCCGCAATCATCCCTCGAACATCATTGAAAGGGACAGGTATGGAGGTGGCGGTGTTCTCGTTTGGGGAGGCATCATGCTTGGTAGTCGTACAGACCTTGACATCTTCGACGCAGGCTCAATCAACGGGACCCGTTATTGTAATGAGATTCTTCTTCCATATGTGCGTCTTTTTAGAGGCGCTATGGGTCTGCAGTTCCTTTTCATGGACAACAATGCACCATGTCATCGCACAGTAGCTGCCGAACAGCTCTTAGAGAGTGAGGATATTGAACGTATGGATTGGCCGGCACGATCTCCGGATCTCAATCCCATCGAGCATGTATGGGATTTTCTAGGCAGGCTCTTGGCTGCTCGTACCTTACCACCAGTAACGATTCCAGAGCTTTGATTGGCGCTGCAAAATGAATGGGCAGCAATGCCTCAACAACTCATCGACACCCTCATTCTCAGCATGGGCAGACGCTGTGAAACCTGCCTAGCAGTCAGGGGTGATCATATTCCCTATTAAAGATCGGCTTGCTGGACACCCATCACAGGGATGTTTCGGCCTTCAGTAGCATTGCGCTCAATGCTACTTTTTCAATAAAGCTTCTTTTTATCCCTCTGATTTCTATGTTAGTAAGTGTTGCTTACATTACTCATGTCCTTACGTATTGGGAATCTTACGGTATTAAATGTGTTGATTTGGAAAGCTTTTGTACAAAGTTATATTGAAAAGACCGTCCCGTCCTTAATTTTTGCACACCAGTGTATATATAATTTCTTCAGGAATGAAGAAATATTCACTCCGAAAGAAAGTGTGGAGAAGATCTTACTTCAGTTCGAAGGAAGCTTTGAAATGGAGATGTGAAGATATGACAAGCCCAGAAGGGGGGGGGGAAGATTACATTCTCAAAATTGGTTTGAAAAAGGAGAATTCTTAACGGGGCCATTTGTTTGATTTATGCGTGGTGTTTAGAATTTACCTCCACTGAACTTTGTCTGCATCAGCTTCATATGAATCATTGAACTGTCGTTTGTACAACGAAATGAGCTCATTGATGATCATCAAAGATTTAAAGTTTTGTTTTCCCTAGGTGACAAAAGTTTTTTCTTTAAGCAACTTTTATATCTAATTAAATCCTTGAGTATCATTTCGGAAATGTTACGCCACAAACTTCATATGCAGAAAACTGGGGGAATGGGAGCAGGAATATCATGGCTAAATTTATAGAGTGATACTTTTTTTAATTCTCATCATACAATGAAAATTTCTTAACAATATCACGACGACTTTGGCAAGAACAGTTTTTTTATATTTTATTCAACACTGCAACAATTTCAGATGGTAAAATATTAATAAATACCAATATTTTCTGGTTTAGAAAAAATCTACAATATTAAACTGTGGAATATGAATAGAAGGATTAGATTACAAGTTTTTATCGTAAAAAAACTGGAAAAACAACATTATCTACAAATTAATTACAATGGGAAAAAAAATCCCCTGTTAAGGTACTATTTAAGTTTTACTTTTTTTCATCATTATTTCAATATTTTTGGTACTTTTCCATTTTGCCAGCACAGGCGATAAAAGTCGCCAAAAATGGTACAACCGATGCCAAACAGAATATACTGGCTGGTAACCTTTTACGCTTGATTTTCAAAACAAATAGCAGCAATCTTATCAGATTGATTGCTTCTTTCAATACTGGCATAAAATTACATAGAATTTTTACCAGATAGTTCAATTTTATGCCCTAAGTGATAGAAATTACTTTCAACGTGTTATTCTTAGCTTCGCAGACGCTGTGGATGTTGCTTTTTTTTTTTTTTTTTTTTCCAGAAAAACCAAAATTTCTTCTTTGCTAAATAAACTTTAGTGCATATTGTGTTGATAACGTAATAAAAATTACTTAAATGGCAGATATATTTTGAAAATATAGTAGAAAGAAATAAGCAAACTACAAATGAAAGTTAGCCAAGTAAATAAACATGTAATGTGCATTTGTGGTTTGCTTATTTCTTTCTACTATATTTTCAAAATATACCTGCCATTTAAGTAATTTCTCTCACAAGGGCTTTTGCGGTAATTAAGTCACTTAGGATGCAATCACATCACTCACCCGAAAGCGGAAATATAGAAAAAGCGAAGTTAAGGGTTAAATTCATCAATTCTAATAAGAATGCTCTAGTGAAGTAAAGCACTGCGGTTTTACATAGTTTCTGAGTAAGCTATTCTTACCAATTAAAATAATTCTTGCATTTAAATTTGGATTCCATAAGATTTAACTTGAAATTAATGTAGATAATTACTGACAGAATTAGATTTTTGTAGTGTAGTTTACGTGAGATGAGATCACTTGGGGTCATGTGATATGAACCAGCGAATCAGGATGTTGAACCATGAAATCACAGTAAATTCTTAAATTAATGTCTTTTTATAAATTCATTGCCTTTATTTATTCTCGTTTTACAAAATTTTAAATAATATTAAAATGTTTATGCTTTCAGAATAAAAAATTCTTAGAACTACCATTTGTTATTTATGTGTTTATTGTGTGTTGTCGACAAAGTCTGCTTGGTGAAATTTTTGCAAGCCAAATGGAAAAGTACCATATTTTTTCCCTCGACTGATCTTTAAAAGCAGTCTTATAATTCCTCATACACTTCTATAATTCATACCATGATTTATAAAAAAGGAACTGTATTTTTGTTCCTAATCTCACTGACCTGAACATTATTATGATCAGGTCCGCAGATTTATCATGGTTAAAGCCTCAGTCAAGATATAGTATAGGGAAGAATATCTCTTTGCTCAGCTTCATCATAATCTTGATACAGAACAGCCAAGAAGACAGATAAATGTGTCTTATCAATCTTTCTGTACAACTAACATCTCAAGGAGACTTTTGACAAAGGTACCCCAAAATACATCAGCACTATACAATTGCAAATACCCATGCATTTTCCAGAATTCCAGCCTAGGCCCAATGATTTGGCAGTTTGCATTGCTAACAATTACATCAATCAGAACTGCCGAGACAATATTTAAAAATCACGCAAAATTCAGTTTCTTAAAAGAACAATTATTGCATTATATCTAAATAGTGCCAAGACTGTACGCATATGCAATGCTTACCTTCATCTAGCCTCTTCTCCAGATCTTCACCTTCATCACGTTCCACACTACGCTCTTTCTTAACAGCCTCTTTTTCAGGTAAACTATCGTCCAGGTCTTCCTTTTCAACTACATCTGATTTATCACAGCTGTTTTCATCCTTTATGCTGTCTTCTTTTTCAGATCCTGAACGTGACCGTGATCTGTTTCGAGAAGACTTCTTTTTTGTCGTTTCACCATTTTCAGTAAGATGACTTTCTTCATTTTCTTCCATATTTACTAATAATGAAAATATATATTACACAACAAAGCTTTATTATTAAGTACTTTGTTTATATCAAACAAAGGCAATAAAGTATCCAAAACAAGTTTAATTTCTATGTCTAGGTATCAGCTTCATTTAGAAATGTCACTATTTGTTCCTTCTAAAAAAGGCTAACCACTGATTTCTAAAAATAATTAGAAAACACTTTTAATCTTACATAAAATTTGCAGATAATAAATTTTATTAAAAAAAAAAAAAAAAGATTTAATTGCTAATTCTATACCACATAATTTCAAAACGATACCTGTTTAACAAGTCTGCAGATTAGTGAGCCAAATAACTCAGAGGATTCATTCGTCATAAGTACAACACTATTTTATGCTAAACTTAGTATGGCACAAAAACTATGCAAAAATGGCCTAGGTAACTGATACCACATATTGCCAAAAGGAAATAAAATTTAAGCAAAACATTCTCATTATATGATAGTGTAACCTAAACCATTCAATATATATTAAAAGATTATATACTTCCTTAAAAAGAAAGTTATGGAAACAAGTAATGAGAACAGTTTGATTTTTTTGTGCAGTTACTATTAAATATCCGTATTAAACATCTCCGATTTTCTGCATGTATTGCATAGCAATATTATACACTTACCAATTTAGAAAAATGACATTTGCCTGGGATATTATAAGAAATGAAAGTTAATAATTTTAATGTGCATTTAGCCATATAAAATACATATTTAATCATTATACAAATTAAAGTTCAGCCTTTTGAAACTGGTTAGGTTAGGAAACTACATAAACACTTAAATACTAACCAGGTGTTAATGAGTCTTCATCTGATTCAGACTCAGCTGAGCTATCGTTTTCTCCTGACTGTGAACTCTGGGAATCTTTCCTTTTCTTCTTTCTTTTTACAACTTCTTCCTGAAAGGAAGCAATTTCACAGTTGAAACTTTGAAAAATAACTTCAAAAGTAAACATATTAATAATATGTAAGGTAAACATGTCCATTTCAATAAACAGTATACATTTATATCAGGTCTTAAACTTTTTTCCTTATAATGTAAGAACAATTCTTAAAATTCCTCCCATTTCTGAATTTTTCTTTTGCTTAAGAATGCATAGACTCCAACCTACATCAAAACTTGTCAGTAGTCAATGCGCAAACGACATTTTTACAACTTTGAAAATGCCCATGTAATGCATATTTTAATTAACCATTCAATAATTTTTAATTAATCATTAATTGCAATCAATTTTATTATGTTTAAAATCCATATACATAGGTGGCGAAAATTGTGGACACTTTTGGAAATTATGTTTTTGAACTTTGTATGCTTATAGAAAACATTACGTTTCACAAAATGCAAACTTGTATATATGATTTTAAAGAGAATTTATTACTGAATTCAATACAAAATCCAAAATTCAATTATTTGCAATACAAAAAAAGTTCAAAGATAATAGTTATCGATATACATTACATAGTAATGATTGCAGTGAGTTATCAGTACTTAGTAAGGTACCCTTTATTTTTGATTACAGCTTCACATTGACGTTTCATTGAGCTAGACTAGGCAACAGGAGAAAAACAACCCAGATTGGCATAAAAATGGCATTGCGCGCTCCCTTTATCCATGTACACACCGACCTATTTTCACTTTAAAAGTCACAAAAAATTGACAAAAATCCAATTCTTACTCTTTAAAAAAGTGCCAAACAAAAAAAGTGGGCGATTCTGCACTTTACGCCTTTTCTCTTTAAGTGAATAATAACATTTTATCCGCTTAAAAAAGAAGAGACATATTAATTCTTGTTTGTTGTAGTCTAGTGAGGGACTGTCGTTAGCTACAGTAGTTTAAAGGTATATCTTGCTTTGCATCTACCTCTGTTTTTGTTGTTCTTGATTTAACAATCTGCTCTTTTGTTTCGTGTTGTGGCTTTGTACCCCTAGACCTAATTAAGGGTGATTGGGTTGCGGTTATGAATTGTTATGATTTTCTGTTGGTTCTTCAATATACAGACTTTTATGGCTTCGTTTATTGAGTGCCTGTAAAATGCTCATGCTGTCCTTAAAAAATTTGTTCTGCATCTGCTCATAGCATTAACTTTGTGAAGGGTGAAGGATTCTGCTTAGAGTAATGTATGTAATCACTGAGTGGATAGTACTCACTATATATTTCAGTATTATGTTTGTGTATACGATATGTTGCACCTACTTCAACCTCCATCTTAGAACCATCCATAAAGATTTTACACTTTATATGCTGAGGTGAAGTCTTCATCCAGCTGATGTTAGGTTGGGTGGTTGTGCTATTTTTGATCTTTAATTCTATGTTGTTGCTATTTACAAGATCCTCTCTAAATATCGTATTTTCTTTGAAATGGACAGATGATATACTAGTTTTCTTGGACTGAGCTTTGAGGTTTAGTAAGATACCTGTCAAAACGTGCAGTGCCATTGTCGACATTGTGGAATTAGCTGTTGTAATCTTCGAGGGAGTTCTTGTATATAGCTGAGCTTCTGACAAATATATGCATTATTCATCATCCATATGGACACCTGTAAAATATCATTCTTTCAAGTCTGCAAAGGTTTCAAACTTCAACGTAGGTAACTCTTTCCTCGAGCTCCCATTTTGCACCAACTATTTTATTCAATATATTTATTATCTTATTCTCTGACGTTAGACAGAGAACAAATGCAGTACAAAGTCCGAAATCCAGATGCACTCAAAAATGCTGATGAGGAAAAATTTACTAAAAATTTCTTTCCATATGCTAAAAATAGATTTTGTTGATGATACTCATAGACCTAAAGATTACATTTAGGGCTATTTGAATTAAGAATTGGGTTTATTTGAATAACTGATTTGTTATTCACATAAACCCAGAACCAGGGCTCATGGCTGCACAGAGACGCAGAATTTAGGACCCACAGAGACTGCATAAGGCGGTAAGATATCTAGTACCAGCCCTCAATAAGGCTTAAGTATATGTGGGAATTTATTTATTCAGAACCCTGATAAGTATATTAAATAACTATACAATTCAAGCTTAATTGTCTCAGTGCGCAATAGAAGCAAGATAAAATTTAACAGAACAACTTGTCGTTAGTCTCCAAGCTCATGATGCATAGCCAAGTATGTATAGTGAAGGACAGATAAATTTGATGATGATAGCCGCTAATTTTAAAGGTTTTTGGATGTCGCAAAACAAAGGTGAAATTTTCCAATTAACAGATTGTGTAAAAAAATGTGGAGAAGCGGTAATAAATGAAGATGAAAAAAAGAAGTTTTTCATTGTGATGACAATGCTTTACAATCATCAATCAATCAATGAATGGCAAAATCTGTAGTATGGTTCTAGATCCAGAAACTACCGATTCTGAAGAAAGTGACAGAGAAGTTACTGAAAATGAGAAAATTTTGATTTACAAGTTAGTTGGAATTCTTGACATAGCAGTTACAGGACTTCAACAATGTAACTGTAGAGATTATGTCTGTCTACAGAATTAAAGAGAAAGTATTAGGACAAAAAACGAAGTAACTTAAACAATTTACAGTGAAAGAAATGTTTAATAAGGTAAACAAATAAATATTAAGCTTTTTTGTAAATTTTGAAACCCTTTAGATCATAAATAACGATTTCATATTTTTAATCTTATAATTTCTACATGTCATCATATTAGATTTAAACTGATGATCTAATATCCTGAAAAATCCCAAATCTGGAATTGCCGAAGTCCCCAACAAGTCTGGATTTCAGACATTGTACTGTATTAACTTTTTATCCAGGATAAAGTCCAGGTATTTCAGCTTGTCTTACCTCTTGGTGGGATCTCATTCTGTTTAATTCATTTCTTTCACTCTATCTTGCATCCTTTTGGGAACATTATCGTTTGGGTTTTTTTCAATACTGAATTTTAGTTTATAAGTGTTACTCCAGTTGTATGAAACAGTCAGTGTTTGTTCAGCTTTTCTTGTGTGATTTCCACCTCTCATGATGATAATGAAATGGTCTGCATGTGCCTCGGAGGCATAGCTAGGGTTTCCAGCGCCTGAATAACTGAAGATGTTGCGCCTCTTTCTGTGTGCCAAGAATGAAAAAAGTTCGGACAAGAGTTTTCTAATGGTGCCACAAATTTTCGATAGGATTGAGGTCAGGATTGTTTCCTGGCCATGACAACAATTTAATGCTCTTTGTACGAAACCACTCTTTCGATATTTTGGCCGTGTGGCAAGGAGCAGAATCCTGCTGAAAAATAAACGAAGCACTGTTGGGAAAGAGATCTCTGATGGAAGGTCTAGAATAGTGTCAATGTATTTTTTGGCATTCAGTGTCCCATCGATGACATGAAGGCGACCAATACCATCTGCTGACATGCATGACCAAATCATAACACTAACTGGGTTCTTCACAGTTGCTTGAATGCAGTCAGGATGTAGCTCTTCTCCTATTCTACGTCTTACATATTTTCGCCCATCACTACTGATCATCACTCCATATAACTTGTGACCACTGATCATCTGTCCAATTAATGTATTCCTTTGCCCACTGTAGTCTTTTTTTTTCGTTGCTGAAAATTAAGATAAGGCTTTTTTCGTGGAATTCTACCTCTCAGTCCAACATCTGTTAATCTTCTCTTGATTCTTCTTGAACTGACAGAAACACCACAGTCATTCAGATCACTTCTGATGTCATTTTTCTACCTTGGAGACATAGTCTTTTTATTCTTCCGTCATCAATAGATATGGTGCACCTTTTTCGGCCTTTTCCTTCTTTGTTTTTTTATTGAATTTGTCTTCTGATATCATAAACAAAATATTCGGACTCCAGATGTAATCACTGAACCACCCACCTGCCTTGCAATTTCAGCATAGGAAAGACCACTTTCTCGTAACACAATATTATTACATCTCTTTCTAGGTTGTCCAATCTACTCTTTTATTTGATGTCATTGCTTCTTGACTAAATATTAAAAATTTTTACTAAAAATTCCTACTTTGTAATTGCAGTGGAGAACTGCAATTGTAACATGTAACAATGAACAATGTAACTGCAGAAGGAGAGGTCCTCCTTCTACAGAACAAAGCAAAATAATTAATTGTTTCAAGTGTAAACATGATGTCAGCTTCTACTGGCAGTTACTAACATTTGATTGGTTTTCAGAAGAAGAACAGTGATTGGCCAGGAAAGCTAGACATTACAAACCACTTCATAACTGTGTTTTTTATTTATATTAAAGTACATATAACTTTTTTGTATTGCAAATCATTTAATTTTGTGTTTTGTATTAAATTCAGTAATAAATTCTCTTTAAAATGATACATACAAGTTTGCATTTTGCGCAACGTAACATTTTCTATAAGCATACAAAGTTCAAAAACACAAAAAATTTCCAAAAAGTGTCCACAATTTTCGCCACCACTGTATATATATATATATATATATATATAAAATTGAATAATTAAAAATGTCTTGTAAATTATACACACATTTAACTTCTCAAGCATGTATATCACTAAACCTACTAATATGTGATTGAAGCAAGTATTTTAAATCACTACTAATCATAGAAAAAATCAGAATTCATAAATCATATATCTTTATTCTGGATTTGATTTCTACAGGGATATAATATTAAAAAAATTTAGATACTTAAGAATAATACATATAATTTACAAATGCAAAGATTTATATGTACCATGCTTAAGTTCTGATTTTGATAATTTTTTTAATAACAAGTTCTTCATTTGCTTGCATGTTTATTTTTTCAATCAAAACTGCTTCGAGAGTTTTAGGACCTAAATTTGGTCGAAATTCAAAGACAGCAAGCATTAGAATAGGCAATACTTTATATTTAAAACACCCAATCATATTTTTTAATTTGGCAATTTCTTCCCAGTCTATACCAATATGCAAATCTACAATTTCTTTCAAATCATTTACTTTGATACATAGAAACTCAATTTTCACTTGATTAAGATATTTTTCATCAATAATGGATAGGAAAGTTTTTATCAAGAAAAGAACAGATGAAAATGAAACTTCAGTTCTCAAGCTGAGGTCAGCAACTTCAGCATGTTTTAGAAATGGATCACTTGAAATGTATCTATTATACATGAACATGCACTCAAAATACATGCAAAACCAACACATGCATGCATGCAAATAAAAAAGATTTCACTTCACTTTCATTCAACTTGGCATTTTTTAAATATCTTGTTTCTGCACCAATCACTATTTTTTTTTTTTTTACTATACTTCTGAAATGAAATAGATGTTAGAGTAACATCTTCATTTTCCATCAGCAATTACTGATGGTTTTATGAATCTAACAAATAAATTCATTAAAAGTTCAACAAGTTCTTTTCTCAATTTATGCATATAAGGAGCTTGTTGTTGCAAATTAAAATTTACTGTTATAAACCAAGGCAACGTATTTTTCAAAAATAACAAGTACAGTTTGGTGGTAGGTGATTGCAACATTTTTTTAATGTTTTGCAATTTCTTTCCTTCATTCTCACTGTTATCTGGTTGATCACACACAACAGAGCACATCACTGTTCTAAAATCCTTGTTATAGATTCTAAAAGAGACAACTATCTTCAGTATTTCAAAATTTTATGAGATTTTGCATTCTGTCCCAAAATTTGTTGAGCAATTTTAAAGCTGTGCTTCTGTTTCGATCTTTTCTCCAAATAAAAATATATACCTATTAACAACATTTCAATTTCTGAGCCAATTAATTTTTCAGTAGGTTTTTTGGCAGCTACATGCAAAAGATGGCCTGGACAACCTCGGGTGGTTAATGCATTTTGATTAATGATGCTACACCTTTAAATTTTCCCATAATATTACTAGCATTATCTGAGGAAAATGATAAGCAATTTTTCCATTCTAAACGTTTGCTTTTAAAGTTTTCATTTATACAATTAAAAATGCATTCTCCGGTATTATTCGTGCATTCTAAAATTGAAATCAATCAAGTAATTATCACTCCCTTTTCTTTACTATAATATGTTATAATCAAAGAGTACAGTTTGTTATCATTACTTCCATCAGTACTTAGAGAAAATGATGTGTTGCACACATTTTACAATACCGGCAACAATACTTTCTGCAAGCGTTTTCACAATAGCAGCAGTTTTGGTATGGCTGCAGCTAAATTTTTTTTGCTATGGCAGAATCTGGAAACATTGATACAAAAAGCTGTTTGGAATGATTTGAAACTGAAATTGGTAGATTATGTTTAATTAAAAATCGAACAAAATAGCATTTGGCTTTTATAGCTTCTGCTTCATCATCTTTTATTAAGAACTATTTCTTTAGATTTTACAAGTGGCTAGTTCTTTATACTGGGGGAAAAAAAATGCTGTTTACGGTCATCCTTTCCGCCATGCGCAACCGGGAAGTCTTTGTTGCATACACTGCAATGTGCGCGATTCACAGAAATTTCGAATGCTTTAATGCATGGAAGTTCTGAAGAATATGAATCTTTAAATTTCTGCTTTGATAATTTTAGCTTCTTTGTTCGAGGTACATAATAAACAAAAAACTTCCAGTTGAATCACAGCTCACAAGGCACACGCTATGCTCTCGCTGTAATCTAAACAAGCAGCAGCAATGAACCTGGAAGCAAGGCCACTAGTGTGGGGAACTATTGACAAGTGATTAATGGTTGAAGTTACTGATCTGCGAATAGCTATATTTCAAAACCAGCAATGCACAGAACACATGATATATGATGACACGAGTATTCAGCCAATCATCGGATGAATTAATTGGTTCGGTTTTATGTGCTGGTTGTCCTAGCCCGTTTCCATAAAATCTATATTTTTTTCCATACTTTTCATAGCTTATAGTTTTTCCTGAATTTCCGTAGAAACTATGAAGAATCCGTAGTAGTTGGAGTCTATGAGAATGGTCTGTTCTAAATAAGCACAAAGCTATTTATTACATCTAATCATCCATGAACTGGCCAATTCTTCACCTTTACACTGATTCTAAAGCACACAATGATATCTGACATAAAGGAAGGGTGATTATACAGCTGCATTTATTTATTTTTTGGTGGTAAATGTAATCATAAATTATGTTAAGTGGTAAATTTGTTAAGAATACCCCACAAAACAAAATTATGAGCCTCAGGAAATCGTAATGAAACATATATGCCTTATCTAATACTGCAGGTCAATATTAAAGAAATATATAACATATTATTAAAGACTATTCCGGAAAGGATAGATACAAGCTGCAACAATCAAGGTAGGAAATAAGTATGATGGAATCCATAATACAATAGTTATTTAATAATAAATAATCAAACACTGTATGATTATTATTAGTACAAAAAGTTAACATCATTAAAATTTTAGGAAGAGTTATGGTGTATAATATCACATTTGACCAGAAAAGTATCAAATGGCACGCATTCTTAAAACAGACGGAGAGAGAGGGAAGGGAGGAATAGGCAGATCTGCTTACACTGCTTAAACAGTTATTATGTAAATATCTACAAAAATCAATTTTACAGCGAATTTTCAGTGAGTGCTTTTGCCGCTACATTACCTTTACTTGCATGGTATTTTTTTATTAATGATAACATGCATCCCCTCTTTTCTTTTCCCTGGAGGGGAATAATATAGTAGTTACATCTTCAATGTTTGTGTTTAGATATTTAGATTTTAAATTTAAAGCCTAATAACTTGTTTCAAATCACAGTACATTTTTGAATACCCTATACATTCTATCATTAAAAAAAAAAAAAAAAAAAAAAAAAAAAAAAAAAAAAAAACTATTTAAAAAGAAAACTTTCAATACCTTTTGAATCTTCAATATTTAGTTACGTACTTTTCAATACCAACCTACTCACAATATTACTACGGATGTAAATAAGCTAACCTAACTAAAAGTTAGCACCAGTGCTCATAGAACAAAACACACAACTATAGCTTTTTCATGTCACTGTTTTCATTTTTTCATGCCCTTGAGGAATAATAAACTGTGAAAATTGGCAGGAGGTACCAAATAGTTGTATGTTTAAAGAAGATTAATAAACAATATTTGTTAAAATAATAGCTAATAAACAGACTTACTTTTTCTTCAATTTCATCTTTCTTCTCCTTTTCACTAAAACACATAAATCATTAGAATACATCTTAAATGAAGTATATCCATGCATTAAATATTTGCAAATCATTTTTAAAAATATAAATGCTGAATAAATTGGAAAGCAATAAAAATATGAATACATCAAATCACTATTAATGACAAATATATTTTTGTAAAAAGGCACTTAAAATTCACGTGTAGTTTACAGAAGTTGGATAATTATAGCAGAGAAAGAAAAAGAAATTGTTATGAAATCCTCAGTTTATGTGTAACATTTACAATCACAATAAAGTTTCAACATTTAGTGAGTGTAATATTGAAAATTTATGGTGGTGCTTGAAGGTCTTTAGATGGGTAACTTTACTTGTTCATCCAGAACCTTTTGATGGCAGCAAGGAGGCTGCCGATAGAATTCGAACCCGGATGGGCACATTATTTTGGCATATAAAATTGTTTATAAGAATGTCTATAGAGTATAATTTAAAGATTGTAAATACTGTATATATTTGTATATAACTCCACACTAAAGAGTAAATGGATTAAGAAGACTCCATTTTTTTATCATAATTTTAACCCCTTCGCGGCGACTGTCACGTCTACGTGCCAGCAACGAACACACTCACCTCCCGGCCGACACGCAGGCGTGCCAGAGCATTTTCCCCGTTCACTACCGACTGTCACGTATTTGTGCCAGTGTTCTAGAACGTTTGAAAAACTACAATTTCTGCCACAAGATGGCACTGTATGTCCATATGGTTTCAGATACAAGTACATTAGACCTACTAGAAATGAGAGAAGCATGACTCACATACACGTGTTTTTGATTATATAAACAAACGGGGAAATAAATGTTTCCGAATGGCGTGATTTATGACGTCTCTTTAAATCGCACTTGGTAGTTGTTTATTGTAAGTAGAAGTTTTATATACGCTAAAGCGTTGAGTATTTCGGTTTGCAGTTCAGTTTTTAGAAGATAATTAGATCTTGTTAGACGTGAATTCTTTCTGTTTTTACCGTTGCAATGTCGAAGCGTCGAAAATGTTTAACAGAGCATGAAATAGCAGAAATGATGCAAAATATTTCAGATATTGATTCCGAAATTCTGATATTGATTCTGAAAGATTAACTGAAAGACATTTTCCAAAACTTTGTTCAGAAGAGACTGATATATTGTGTGCTTTAGACTATAAAATTGTTTATAAGAATGTCTATAGAGTATAATTTAAAGATTGTAAATACTGTATATATTTGTATATAACTCCACACTAAAGAGTAAATGGATTAAGAAGACTCCATTTTTTTATCCGCAAGATTACTAATTTATCATAATTTTAACCCCTTCGCGGCGACTGTCACGTCTACGTGCCAGTAACGAACACACTCACCTCCCGGCCGACACGCAGGCGTGCCAGAGCATTTTCCCTGTTCACTACCACTTTGAGACGACGATGCTTCGTTTGTTCACAGTCCCGGAAAAATCCTCCAAAACGGCAAATGAGTTATTACGAGTGCAAGGAATGTAGCTTAGGACTGTGTGTAGATCCCTGTTTTTAAATTTTTCATACGAAAAGAGAATTTTAAGTAATATATTTAGTTTTCAGATGTATAACGTTAAAAGTCATAAAATGGTGAGTAATGAAAATAAAATGTGTAAAATATGCATGTAAACAAGAAATAAGGCAATTAAAGTATATAGTATAAAAATATCTATAAAGCATAAGCCATTTAAATACTCTATAGAGATTATTAAACAATGAGTTGATAATTCAGAAATTCCATGGATTTAGGCTTAGTAGCAAAAAAGCCCTGGACAGACGCTCGCGTAAGACACTGCCGGCCTCCCCGATAAGCGCGCGTTTGCGCTACCCAGCATGAAGGAGTTAATTCATTTAAAACTGAAATGGTAAAATATAATTAATATTACTGATGTTTATTTTCTATATTCCTTTTCTGAACATAAAATGATATAAACAGGTAAATATCATTATTCAAATAAAAATTTTTAAAAATATTCTGCAGAGGATTGCAGTCTTTGTTATTACAAAAATTTGTCATTTTATTTTGGAAATTTGCAACTTATACATTATGAGACATATATTAGTGGATATTACTTTTGAAAATGCTAAATATAAATAACTTTTTTTCAATGATTCATTTTCTTAGCGTCACAAACAATATATTTAAATAATATGGAAGCTAGGTAAAAGATCTTATGTAACACCAATTGGCAAACTAAGCTCCCCCCTCTGATTGTTAACAGAGGAGATTTTATCACTGATGAAAACATTTTTTTGAGGTATTAACAAAAACAAACCCTTTTCAAAATAAACCTGAATTATAATACACAGCCATTGTTAGTTTTCAATATACATTCAAGAGAAACACATGGTAAAATAACCACTCAGAGAACTAAAATATTTATTTTAAAAAAGCACTTATATGAATCACAAACCTGATCTGTTTTAAATTAAAGTGTCAAAATGATTGCAGAATTCAATAGTGAGCTTACCTTGGAGATAAATAAACAAGTTCTTTGGGTTTTTCTTCTTCATATGGTTGATCAAGTACTTTTAGATCAAAGTCTGTACCGCCTTCCAATTTTATGACAACTGCAATAAATATGCATTTAAAAATTTTTTACCACATACAAAGATTAAAAGGAATTATTTATTACATGCTTACAATGCAAAAATCTTCAGAAAGACCACTTTTTTACAAAACAAAAATATGATTGATAAGAAAATTAAATACCAAATGCAATGATTCAAAATTCTATAAAATGAAATCTGCTGAAACACAGATTAAAATAAATTTCAAGAAATTTTCTTTACATATAAAATGAATTCAAAAATAAAGGTTATAAATAAAAAGAAACTATATTAGGATTTAATAAACCAAACTAACATTTTTTGACATTTTAATAACTAATATTATATCAATCAGGATTTTACCTGCATCTAGAAACCTGATTATTTGCTCATGTTTTTCTTGATCTACACTAACAGCATCTACCCAGCCCTTTTCATACAGCTCCATAAAAACATCAAGTCTTCGCTTTAAAGCTGCATGCAATTCTGCCTTTCTTTTTAAACTTTCTTCTGGATGATGTTTTAATTTAAACCTAGTTGAAATAAAAACAAGGATGTATTTTATTATTTAGATACTACATATACAAAGAGCAAAAAATCACTTTTTGATGAAAATATTGGCATTTTAAGTAAGTAAAAATTAAGAGTTATTTTTATGTATTTAATAGGATATTTTTATTTAAAATAAAATCTTTGTAATAGTTCCTAAAACTAACAGAATATTAAAATTTTTTTATTAAAAAATATATTTTTTTAACAATGGGAATATAACAGTTCTGAGCTTATAAAATTCTTTTTTATGAATTAAAAATTTAAATGAAATTCACTGACTAAAGCAAATGTATTTTCAACACATAAAATAAAACAACAATTTAGAATAACTAAAAAAAAAAAGTATGTGCCACATAATGTGATCACAGATCATGCCAAAATCTAGTAAGGTAGTTCAAATCTCTATTGAATTTATTTAAATATAAGAAAAATTCACCAATTCTTATTCCGTTTCTACAGACAATAGCAGTGTTATTTACTACGGAAGCTAAAAGACAAAAAGGGTAGTTCTTAAATGGAGGGGGGGGAAAGAAGAAGGGTACAGGAGCCTCAAGATTTATAATATTCAGAATCTTCTTAAAAATCAGTTATTTTTTCCTTACTGTTCTAGAAAATTAACCTTTCTTTAAATAAAATTTTAAGAAAAGACTACGAAATCAGCCAATCGTAAGAAACAATCATGGGGCCTAACCAAAATAAATTTCTAGAAAAATCCTAAAATTGCTGTATTTGAAGAAATAGAGGAATTTGTTCTTGATACGATGTGATTTTTAAAGGCACACTGGGAAGGCTATTAAAATATTACATATGTACAGAAAATGTTAACGAAGGATTGAAAATTTTAATTTTTGCATAAAATTCAGCATTAACTGTTCATAAATGGAAAAAATTTTTAATTTAGTAATGAGGCTTCATGATATTCTGTAAATTGTACTTTCGCAAACACTTGCAAATGCAGTATAAATTCTGCTTTTACTAGTTTTACAAACACCATATCCACTTACAAGAATTTAATCATAAAAAAATTAAACAAAAACAACAAACAATTAAAATTTTACTTGTAATTTAATTCTTTAATACAAGTGATCACATTAGGTGGAATTTATTAAGAAACTTTACTATAAATAATTTATGGCAAATATTAGTTATAAAAAGCAATACTAATTTATATAAATATTGAAATACAATCCATAACTTAATAAAAAAATAATTAAAAAAGCAATCCAAAACATCAAACATTTTTTACCAATAATTTAAACACTGACTTACATAGAATCTTCATCTGAGTACTTGCTGATGAAAAAATCATAACGCGACCCCACATTCTGGGGATTAACCTAAGCCTACTACTTAAAACTTTTAAAATCACAAACTTAAATAGTGCACATCGCAAATACTGAACTCTCATCAATTCCACGGTTTCACTACACAACAGTCAATAAAATCAACAGCACAAAACTTTCATGAGCGATAGTTTGAGATTGACAGTTCATATGAATGCTGTGAAGACGTGGAAGGATCTCTTTCGAGGAAAAATGCTGGCAGTCAGCCTGCTTGCTGTATGGAGGAAAAAATACACAATAACAATGATCCAGCACAAGAGAGGCAGAAAAAAAATTATGAAAAAGAAGGAGGGAGCAGAGGCAGGCTAAGAGCCTACTCTATGTAATAAAATCTTTTAACTAAAATAAAAATATGTAAAATGAAATTTTGGGGTCATTGGTTCTGCTTTTATGACCTCCTCAACTCCCTGAATTATAATACATAGCCTCTTTGGAGCTGGTGTATCTGAAAGATGAACACAGCTTCAATATTTCAGATTAAAAACATAACTGCTAACCATTACAGTAATTTATTACATGAAGTAACAAAATAATCAGCTTTTAAGCTCTTTATTTTTGGTGCCATTATAGCAAATTTTCACAAACATAAAACTTTAAAAAAGATTATAAAAGAAATGCATAATTTAAAAATTTCATATATGGATAATATGACCATTTAAATAAGACTATCCCCCAAATTTGGTTAAAAATTTTTTGTAAATAATAATTAAAAATTTGAACTACTAATAAATGTCTTAATTTAGCATTTAAAAAATTATTACATTTCTGACTCAAGTTATATATTACCATTATGTTATCTTTAACTAATAAAAATTCCATAAGTGTTCCTATAATAACTTTATTATAGTTAAATGCAATTAATCCCCCCGAGAGTAATTTTGTCTTACTTACGTTGATTTAAGCGAGTAATTTTATGTAACATATTCCATAATATATTTATCACAATGGAATTTAAGGAATATCCTATTAATAAGCATTAATTTTACACAAGTATGGAACTGCATGAGCAATGTAATTCCATGATTTTATTAATAATAAAATTTATCAATTCATTCAAATATAAAGTTGAGAATGCCACTTATTAGGAAAAAATACACCTCTATCACATAATTTTAATTTATTAACAAAAATTCTAATTCTAGACATATTGTCAGGATTTCATTTAAAATGAAAAACCACAGAAGCTTATTTAAAAGCACAAACAATAAAGAAATTACCAAACTTTCATTTAGTCTTAGATCATTCTTAATCAAATATTTAAGAGAACAGTACTTTTTCAAAAGTTCTAAAATATACATATATACAAAACTTTCTTTTCAACAGTTTGCAATTTTTTAAAGCTAAACCTTTGAGCAAGAAAAGCACATAGTTTATGATACTTTAATATAATAAATTTAACTTCATAGTTTATCTTACAATTTTGAACGACACTACCAACAACCTGTTTCTTATAATACAACTACAGTTTATAGAAAATGAAATTAAAAAAACAAACAAATAAAAAGTGAATTTTCTTTTTATGCCTAATTACTTAGACAGCATTTTCTTTCATCCCTATACTACTTATAAAGCAATATTAAATTTGGTAAAGCTGTTTTACAAAAATCATTGAAGAATAAGCATTTGCAAAACATAATTAAAATTAATGGTTCATTAAAGCACAATCTATGGCCATAATCTAGCATCTTTTAGACAGCACACGAAAACTTCAGAGTAATTTAAAAAAGAGATCGCACACTTCCACTTTGCTTTTATTTTTAAATACACGCATTGGACTTTAAGATTAGCTCTCACCGAAAAGCCACAAGAAACTATAAGTGAGGTAACGCACCATGTTGCCAAAAAGTATTTATGTGGCAATTCAGTTATACACGTGGCACAATAGGAATTTCCCTTCTGAAATTTAGTGATCATTTTTATGATTAATATATATATGCATTGGGTACATTTGTTTTTGTTGTAATATAATAGAACCCTCTTTTATTTCCATTACACTGGAACTGACACAAAATTTTAACTTTTCAATCATGATTTTGGAGGGTGTAACAATGCCAAAGTTATGTTAATTTTTTTAAAGAAAAATATCACTGTACACATGGAGTGAATATTCTTTTCCATGTATACAGTGGAAAAGAATGGATGTAAAAAAATATGCGGCACTGGAATCATCCTTGAAATAGACATAAAGATACCCAAACAAATGTTTCTCTCCAAAGTTTGGTTTGGGGTGCAGATAATTAGAAAATACCAATGCATTTATTTTGTATTATTTTTACATACTAAAGTAACATAAACTTGTTATTTTCAAAGAAACAGCAGTGTACTTAAAAATTTGCTGAATATTCTTTATTATTAGATAAAGAAATCTGCATGTATGTTCCTTACTATAAAATAAGGACATTCTGAGGCACCAAATTTTAAATATGCACAATTTTCCACCCTAACTAACATGTAAACTAACCCTAACTAACATGTACACTGCATGCACGCAAGCACACACACACACAAAAAGAGAAGGCTATACCTATTAGATTTATATATAGCAACGTTCTAAAATACGTATTTTGACACAAAAATAGGACTTTTCTTGAAATGGCATGCAATTTTTTCCATATTTTGATTTTATGACTCAAATTATGCCAAATTTTGTAAAAACTGCACGAGTAGCTCTCAAAACTCTAGCTCCTCAATGTTTATTGAATTTAGTATATATTTATTAAACTTATTTGACTTCCTTTCACATTTCGAAATTTAGGTTCATTCCCAAATAAAATTTGTCCATTTTTTTATGATTTATTTTTAAATAAATTTTATAATTTTTTCAAAAAACATTCTGAATTATAATCTACAAAACTTTTACCATCATCTTACAGTAGACTTATTTCTAAGCATACCTGCAAAACATTAGAAGTCTTTTATTCAAAATTTCTGAAGATATGCATGAATTTATATATTAGCGCATTTTGAAATTTGGCATATTTGTTGAAAGCGATAACACGAAATGTGGTTTAGGCACTTTGTTAAAATTGCTTGAAAGTAGGAACAATGTGATTTTCTTCCTGCTCATGCACAATGCAAAAAAGGAAAGGAAAATAAGTTGCTATAAATTAAGAAGTTTGGCAAGTGGAGTTCATTCTTGGCGCAAACTGAAAAAATGCACCAGATAAATTTTTGAATTTCTCTAAAAATTTTGCACCAAATTTTTACAAAATTTAATATTTAGGCATAATTGGAGTCATAGAATCAAAATAATGAAAAACATTGGCATGTCATTTCAGGAAAAGTCTGATTTTGTGTCAAAATACCTGTATCACAACGCTTTATATAAATCTAATATACATCCTTAAGTTGCATTTTTGAGGACGAAAAATGCAATTTGAATTTCATGAACAGCCCAGTAGAAGGGGAGATATAGAACAGTCCCAATATATATATTTTGTTTTTGTGCAGCGTACATCTCAAAGCTCGAATTTCAAATTTGGTTTCTTTATATTTTGTGTTTGTGTTAATTTAGTGGCCTAATTTAAAACTCAGCAATTACAAAACTATGTGCTCACACTCAGCAATTTAAAAGAAATGTGTTGTCACTCAGAAAAGCATATTTCCTTCAAATTTAATCCACAAAATCCACGATTAAAAGAACTGTGTTCCTTCTTTTAAATGTAATCCATTATTGATTAACAAACAAATCTATAATTTATTGATTACTGACTGGATCCATTAAATTACACTATCTGGAGTCATTAATATTATATATATTTTCTTATTCATACTATTTTATACAGAATAGCTGTGCAGTGTTTAGTTCTTGATAATAAATCAAAATAAATTTTATATACACATATTTAGCAAAACAACAACCTTGTGTTTGGCGTAGATTTACTCAAGAACTCCAGCTGTTGAAATCTTGACTTTAAATCTAAATCAAACAAAAAGGTTGTTGCTTTGCTAATTTTATGTTTCTTTTCTATTTTGATACCCATAATTATTTCACATATAGTTTTTACTCATCATTTACTTTATTTGAAAGGGACAAATCTTACTATTTGGGGACTTTTCAGTTTCACTGACAACTAAGAACAGAGATTTACAAAGAAAAATTACAAATGTATAATTTCCCAATTTACACGGTGAATCTTTTGAAATTAAGGATACTTAAAAATACACTAAAGAACCAAAAATAGCATTGCATTTTAAATAACAATCACATGAGGAACGCACCACTCTTCATCTTTATGATTGAGGAAAAACTCATTAATTTGTTGACGTTTAAACTCCAGTTTATACTCATTATATTTTTTCACTGCTTCCTGGTCGTCAATACCATCATCTTGGGAAGAGAGGAACTGCTTAAATGTCATCATTGGTGGTTGGGTTAATCCTGAATCAACTTCCCTACAATTCATGAAGATAATATATCACATTTTAATAAACATAGTACACATACATTCCATTTAAAGGCAAAAGAAAAGCATTGTAAATTATTTTTTGGACTTGATAATTTATATGCAAAGATAAAAAAATGCAATATCCAATAATTACAAAAAATTTTCTATGCTTAAAAAGATAAATATGTTCGTGTTTTAAGCTGCATTTTAAGTGCTGAAATATTTCCTTTTTTGAATTAATGTAGGCAGAGAAAGGACACAATTTAAAATGATTTTAATTTCTTATTGATAATGGCAGAACTAATTAAAGTTTGATTCTGATTACACTGAAAATATATTTACACACACACACATACTTAATCCAGATTTGTTATACATTTCGCTATGATAATAAAAATGTAATGCTCCATCAGACAAAACCAGCTTCTAGAGACTAAATTCTTAACCAATATGTATATAGCAATAAAAATGACCATTTTCAGATATTATTTTACAGTTCACAACAGGCAGTGAAGAAAATATAATTAAGATATGTACAGAATGCAGTGATGAAATCAATCAAATTAGACTTAGCCAAGTTAACATTATTTGAATAAACTCTATGAAACCATAACTTACCTTTGCAACCAATGCCCTGAAAGAGTGATTGGGTTATGAACACATGCTTTTTTCAGTACATAAATAAGCCATTTAATATCTACGAACTACTTCATTAAAAACTAAATTATGAGATGCTAAGTTTCAGTGTAATGCATACAATTTGAATTTAAACTAAGGAAATATTTCATTGTATATATATACAGTAATACTCTTGTACCTGCAAGTAAAATGTTCCTAAGACTTACAATGGATACATGAAATCGCAGACGATAGCGAATGCTAAATACAGTAGATCAACCATGCAATGTATATAATTACTGTTAAATTTAACTGATTCCAAGTAGGATATTATTAGAATTAAATAAAGTAATGCAAAATATATTGTGCACGAGCATACTCTCTTTATGAACTGTGGAAATCAAGGATCTGACATTTTAACTTAATCCAAAATAGACAAAGAGAAATAGAAAAAAACAATTTCGTTCTTGTATTGTAGCAAAGGCGATTGCCCTTTTTTCATCTCTATACCATTTCACTTTGCACTAATAGCACTCTTAACTTTCATTCACTTGTAATCTTCCATTTTGGGTCTCTTATTGTGGTAAAAATGACTTTTAATGAGGAAAAGAGCTGCAATAACATGTTGCTAACAAGAATAAAGTAAATGCTAGAAACAAAAGTGGCAAGAAGTTTTTAAATAAATATGGGTGCCAGAACAAAAATAATGATAAGTCAAATACTGTACGTCATCACTGACAGCCAAAATTTGTTATCAGAAAATTTATACTCATAGCTTACAAGCATGGTCAACATGTGAAAAGACACAAAAGATTCTGTAATGAATGATACTCTCTGTTAAAGCCATGGCATTTGGTATATTTCTTTATTCTTCATTATAATCACTACCAACATGACCATATTTTTTCACTTAATCATGGTCCCTTTCAGTTTTTGTATCACTGCAAATTTTACAACTGATCCCCGAAGAAAAAAATATTTTTCACAAAGAAAAACTATTCAAAGCAATAACCACTTGCTTAAAATTTAATTTGGACTAAAATGGTTATACAGCTTTCACTCACGGCAGGAAGAAAATGGTGTCTACACACATGGTTTGTTGGATCAGGCATTCCTTTAATTTTTACCATATAATTCACTTATTTTGTCAGAAGTTAATGCTTGGAGAATGTTCCATGTTGATGTTCCCGACTGTTCCATTTCCTGTCTAGCCAAAGCATTGAGAAAGAATTTATTTTGTCATTGATGGCTGTGAAACATTATCATTCTTTAAGCTAAAATATTTAAATCCAATTTAATTTATGCTCTTAAAATTAACAATGTAAATAGGAACTTTGAAGTGCAGTGAAGTGTGTATGATGGAAAGCTACTGGCAGTACAGAGAAATTAATTTTTACTATTTAAGTAGAAAAATGAGCCTGTTTGACGATAGTATGCCAAGTATTATGTGAGTTATAAGAAATTTTTAAAAAAGTTTAAAGCATCATACTTTTTGTGATAATTAATGCATGCATATCCTGCATTTTGATGGTTACCACTTCTGATTATTTTCATTAATAACAAAATTCAAACATCTGAAACATAATCCTAAATTCTCCCTTATTTTATTGCTCATTAATTCTATAAAAATAAAATTTTATTTTGGTAATGCTTTATTACAAATGATTAATTTAAAGTTTACCGAAAATGAATTTGTGGTCAGGGAAAAAAGAGAGACGAAGTTCATATTTTTAACAATGCCCGCAAATAAGCAAACAATATCCTTTGTTTAAATGTTTTCAGTATTCAGACAATTATATAAAACAGAACAAACTGAAAAGTTATATACAGTTACCGTAGAATGGCTTTCTATGCAATAAGTGTAGCCATATTTCTTGAACTACAAGCAATACGAATTGAAGAGAGAAAATTAGAAAACAAAAATTGCTAAGGAAGGGAGTATTCCCCCCCCCCGTGTTCACCTTTGTACCACATATGTCAATCTTAGACAGATATTTACAATTTTAAATACCATCCTGAAAATATATTTACACACACACACACACACACATATATAATTCTGGATAATAAACATTTATTTCTCACATACCATCTCACACATCACATACTGAATCCAGATTTGTTACACATTTTGCTATGATAGTAAAAATGTAATGCTCCATCAAACAAGATCTGCTTCTACAGACTAAATCCTTAATCAGTATGTATAGCAATAAAATTGACCATTTTCAAATGCTATTTTATAGTACTTCTTTACTATTCAAAACAAGCAGTTAAGAAAATATAATTAAGATATGTACAGAATGCAATGATGAAATCAATTGAATGGAAAAAATTAGTCCTCTCCAGGGCTAAGTAAAGAACGATCAAAGTCCAATGCTTTTGTAGAAATGACGATCAATGTAAAACTACACTATTGCAATAGTAAAGAATAAAATGGTTAGTCTCTATACATTTTAGGGTACTTCTTGGCCAAGTTTTGTTTCATTTATGCCAACCTAAGTAATTAAATGTTATGGAAATCCTATTATGACATGATTGGTTGTAATGGGTCATGCAGTGATTTTAATTTCACAGAGCTTATTTCTGCATTGTATGTTGTGTAGGAAGAACGTTGCTTATTTTATGTGGTACATCGAAGAATGGCTGCCTGTGATAAGGTTAATCTGAAGTTTCTGTATGATTTGGAATGAATGGGAAAAGATGGATTAACTAACTGGTGTATAAATGAAGGTTTACTCAGTAATTATTATGACTGTCCTGCTTGTGCGAAATAATGCGTATAGTTGAACGTAAAGGTCATTCAGATTGCTTTGAATGGGTTTGTTGCACGAAAGGTTTAAATGCTCACTATATAAAGCTTTCAAATAGAAAGGAAGGATCATGGTTTGAGGAGAATCATTTGGGTATTATTGAGATTTTGATTTTTATATTAATGTGGGTGTATGAAGCTAATACTAAAATGATTAAGACAATTAAATTTGATTCTTATTTTCGTGAATTTATACGGTAACGGCAGTATGCAGATTCTAGTTCAGATAATTTTAGACAGTTTTTGGATGCTGTTAAGAGATTCCATGTGTCACACATACTGAAGGAACAGAAATTTTTAAATAAGGTAAGATGATATTTCTTTTTTATACTGCATAGATTAGATAACATATATTTAAATTATTATGTTACTTCCCTTTTTGATTTAAAAAGCAGTTTATTGAGATTTAATATTTTTGCTTTAATTCTGTTTTAGACAGCATTTTACTGGAGAGGACATTGGACGTAAACAGGAATGGAGCCAAACAATCAATAAGTTTCACCAAGGGGTACCCTGAAATATATTTTTACCAATAAAATGTGTCCCAATGTGTAATTTAACTTTAGATTAACTTTACTGAGAACAGCTTTTACAATAATAAAATATTTATATCACACAATGTTGAGGGCACTACAAAATTATGCAAGAATCTTTTTCTTTCCTACACCACTTTTAAACGCTCAGTTAAAGATAATTAGATCATTGTTCATACTCTCATAAAACTTGCCAGTAAAACAGTGCTGCTGTGTATTCCCATTCACAACGAGGAGCTTGGTAATGGGGCAACAGATATTTTGATTAAAAAGACAAGAGCAAGCACCAGTCAAAACCTAATAACTTTCCACATCACTATATATTGCAAAATGATAGAAAATTTATCTTTAAATATTAAAAGTTTGAAAGTTGCTTCTTATTCCAAATGTCTTGCTCTCCTGTAACTACATTCAGGACTTTCCAATGGAGGTCACTACGACCAAGTTTCGTTTTTGGACTGGATATGACTGCTTTCATGCCCAATTGTTTCAATGTAACATAGTAAATTTGCTGTTTGTGTTCTTTGTGATCACGAACTATTGACAATGGCTTAACACATGGACATGAGCTCTGTACTAAGCATTTGTTTCATTCACATTTTAATTGAATTCTGCCTTTTAAACTAAAATAAAAATTAGATTTCCTACAGGGGGCTAGGGTCCACAAGCAGAAAAATAAGGAATTTGGCTTAACCCTGCCATGGTATTTTGGATCTGCTCCAAAGACCTGTGTTAAACAGCTTCTATTAGTCAAATTTTTATAATTACTTATTTTACTTTTTGTTTTAGAAATTTCCATTAATTAAAATGTTATTTTCATTATTAATGAAAGCAAGAAACATCTCTTCACCAGGTAAAAGTGGTCATGACACTCCAAGGGCTTAATTAGTCAAAAATTAATCAGCTATTCTGGAAACATATATATAAAAAAGTTACTATAAAAATTATTCAATTTTTTAAACACACATCAGCTGCATTTATAAATGAATTTTTATTAGTTTTTTTATCTGTGCTAATGCTATTTTAACATTCATCAAAATTCAAAAGATATTAAAATATTGAAGCAAATTTATTTCGTAGTCCCAAATTTTCACATTTTTAAAGCCAAATTTCTCAGCAATATATGCATGATATTATAGCACTCCCATAAGATCTTCACTTTGGCTTTTTATGCTTCAGCAAGCCAGTTTAGGTTTTCCATAGGATATAAGTTAATCACTATTTCTCTGTTTAGTCATGTATTTTTCAGGCAGAGATTTAAATTCTGGGCCTGCCTTTTACCAAACAACATGCAGTGGAGTATTTTCAAAATCACAGGACTGTTATTCTAGTATACATATTCATAAAATCCAAAGTTTGGAAATTGATAAAATGGCAATGTAGACAATGCCATGTATGACACCACTCGAATCCACATTTTTAAGGGAATTTTATGTTGCATAAACAACATGACTACTTTGTTGGTATTTTAAAAGCCATTTGGAAATTTTTGTTGCTTGAATCAGTGCTACAAGTTTTAATGGATTTGTTTATTAGATAATCCCAAAGTTTGGGTTGATTTTTGACTACATTTTGTTATATCTTGATCACATAGTTCAGCGGTTTTCAACTTATTTTGTCCAATGCACCCACTTTTACCATTTCTAGAAGATCATTCCCTTCCCCGCCTTTTCAAAGCTTAAAAGTTACATACACATTTATTTAAATTCATATTTTTTTAAACATGTTTTGTAACTTAAAACAATAAAAAACATACAGAAAATGTTGATCAACAGCAAAACTTGCATTTTGTCAATAGAAAATAAGTTTTTTAAACATAAAGTTTTTTTTTAAAAACTTACAAACTAAAACTAAACGAAGATACTAAGGTAAAAGGATGACTCTCCTCCAACCATGAAATTTTCCCCAGGTTGAGAATCTCAATCTAATCGAAATAACTATTGATTATCTAATTGAATAAAGAATGATTTGTAGATTCAAGCTGCAATCAGGATGACTGGCATAAGTTTGAGAGATCTCCACCAACTGTAATGGCCAATTACAAAATACATGAGTACCCTTAATTACTTGTGACAAAATACAATGATCAGTTTTTACTAAAGTAATATACAGTTTCTATGATAATTTATTGCAATCATGCACTGCCCATAATAATTTTTTCATTTATTGGAAGATTTTCAATTATTCAAGCTCCAGGAAGTATTTATCATGATTTTCAAAATTCCATCTCAGTGTATGATTTGACCTTTGCCTTGGAGAATACCAAGTGTTAAAATTCAGACAACTCATTTTCAGTTACAGAGGACTTTGATCGTTTTTTCTCAGCTTTTTAATCACCACATATTTGAACTATTCAAAGGGGAAAAGTGTGACACACCTTTGAGGATTCATTTGTCCATGCATTCCCCATCCAGAATGCATTCCACCCATCATGCCTCCACTCGGATAATTTCCATCGAAATTATTGCCATAGCCACCACCACGGTCATCCCTAAAATAGGGAATTTAAAATGTAAACACCAAAGTTATATCTGGATACCTATCAGAAAGTCATTAATAATGTACTACACTACATTAATTAAAGTAGTACAGAGAAGGATAAACATGGAAGGATTTCTACCACTTTTTTGGCTGGTGAGAGTTTACTAGTATATTTATGGAAAATAAAAGCGAAGAAAAGACTTTCATGAATACACAGAATTAGAACTACCAGATCATAATTTTTATTTACAACCAAACATATAATAGGAAACTGCCACATGTTCCTTTGAAACTAAAAACTGCTAAGTCTTCATGCTGCCATTCTATGGCACATAACAGTTTTATTTTCCATAACACGCGATTTCTTTTAAAATGATTACAATAGTACGTTTCTTATAGCAAATAGATACAATTTTAAGCTAAGATTTAATACATAGTATATATACCCCATCTCTACACTCTTTTATGTGCTGATAGTAACACAGTAATAGGAGCTTTGCAGCAAGAAATGAAAAATATCAGCAGCTATATTTACTTGGGAAAAAAAAAAAAAAAAAAAAAAAAAAAAAAAAAAAGATCCTTTATTTCCTTTTTTAAATTCAGTACTATCTTATAACCGGGTGGGTATACTGATAAATGAAACATCAAGATGATGAGCAAGAAGTGTAATTACAACACTATACAGAATAATTATGCCATTTAATTACTTAATTAACAATACAGGTAATTAGCATATGCAGAAATTGCATAACTACCACTAATTACAACATTTACAAAAACTTTAATTTAGATCTGCATCCACTATATTGATCAATTACATGCCTGAAAACAATAGTTAACAACGTATTACTAACAGCGTCTTTAGGTCGCATCTAATGGTACTGTTATTTTGAGATCTGGAAGGAAGGGAGGAGGAATAAGATTATCTTTCTCAGCATTACTGGAAGGCAAAATAAATATTCTTTTTTTGTTCTTAAAATTTATGCAAAAATGTAAGATCTTATTTTAAACTATTCTTAAGAAATTAAAATTTTTTAAATATTTTTTCTGAAATGGATTTTGATTGTTTTATGAGACTAATTTATTTGGTAGAGAAACCAAGTAATTTTCTCAAAACATAGTACATTTTTAGGTTGGGTAGTAACACGATTTCAAGAGATCACCAATGTTAAATTCATTTTGTAATGCATGAGTCAGGTTACTGAATTATTTATAATATGAATCTGATGTAAAATATATTAATATTTAATTAAATTTTCTAATTTTTTTTTTCACTAACTTTATTTTGATCTATAATAATGATCTAATTTTTTAGGTAAAGCTTGAAATCAGCATCTAGCAAAAAGTAAATTTAAGATAAATTTTTAGACATAAGTGAAATTTATAAGAATAAAAATATAATTAAAACTTGAATCTTGAGGTTCATTCTTCTTAAAATAATGAAACAACCTTTTTAAAAACAGAATTATGAACTGAAATTATCAGCTAAGTGAACATTAATGTATGAAAAGTACATTTTATGCTTGCATTAGATTGATTCAAAATCAAATTCAATCATTTAAAAAGTTAGATATGAATTGGATGCTGATTTTTGATTTTGCTGCCATTTGTGGGATTGAAGAGAGAAAATTAAAATGGCCTCATTGAGGAGAAATACACATTTTCTCATAAAGGACATTTTAACAGACATTTTTGAGAGAAGATTATTAAAAAATTAGACATTATTTTCAAGTTAACAATTTTAATATCCAAAACAGCCAAGATGACGTATTAAGATAGCAGACACTACTTTGACACAATTATAGTAGCTACACGGAAGACAAAGCTAAAGAAGGTATTAATGAAATATAAAATATATTATTCTTACCAGTCCCTTCTCATTCTCTTCATAGGTGGGCTAATGTCATGGCGTGCAGGACTGTATCGATCTCTACGATTCCGTGGATCATAATCTCGGTATTCACGCCTGCTACCTCTCCCATCTCTGAAAAGATTAAATGATTTTTAAGAATACATCATTATGCTAAACTCTAGCCATTAAAATAAGAAACAACACTAATTAAAAAATACCATAATTTCAATAGATTTCCCTCATCACAGAAGCTATAAAATATTAATGAATTTGAAAATAATTTCATTTTTAACAGATTTCATGCACACTCAGGGTTATTTAGTAGTCTAGGCAATGGCAGTGGATATGAAATTGATATTAAGAACCAACTACTTAAATAATGCAGGTGAAATTTATTAGACCACTATACAAAATAAAGTAAGAATACAACTTTAAAATGTAAGAATATTAAAAATTCCTTATTTATTTTCTGGCCAATTCCAAATCTGGATGGAAAAATTATAGGAACACCATAAAAAAGGTGTTTTATAATTAAGGTAAAATAACATGCCACACAAAAATTAATTTAGAAATCAAATAACAAAAATCAGCATTGTATTAGCAAATTTTCACAGAACTAGGGTAGATAGGAGTTAAACTACTGGCACCATATATTGATGAAAGAAGAAAACTAAAACATAACTAAGCATTACTTAAAGGCCAGGTAAAGATGGATTGGAATTAGCATCGTTAACCAGAACAGAAATTTTTTTTTCTGAATGTGAAATGTCTCTAGAAAATCTAATTCATCAAAAATCACCTTCCATTGGTGAATTAGAAGGTACCACCCAGATAAAAATTTGATATACTTTCAAATACTGAAAGAAAAACTTCAAAAGAGATTCCTGGTGGACAGTATGTTTGCTTCAACGTCAAAAGAAGATGACAGTGGTTGGCAGGCATTTTACAATATCTCACTACTTATAGCAAAATCAGGAAAGCTGCATACCAATGAAGAACAGCTAATTTTGCCAACTGCATATGAGCAACAACACAGTTCAAAGATGTATAGACGAAATGCATGTTAATGCTGGAAATTCTTTGTGTATTTATCGGTAAACTACCCATTTCTCCATAAAAGTGGATGAGTCAACTATCTGATAATGAACCACTATTATTGGCATATGTTACTTATGTTATAGACCAAGAAATCCATGAAGAACTATTCTTTGCAGAACTATGAAAACAGACATAAAAGGCGAATCGACATTCAATGTTTTGAGACATCAATGGAAAGCGCTATCCTTTACTAAATATAATGTCAGCAGCAGCAGATAGAGAACCAGCCATATTTGGATGCTATCATGGTTTTATAAACCTTTTAAAATAAACAGACTGTGTTTGCAACTCATTGGGTCATCTGCTGACATTTAGTTGCTAAAAATCAGAGTGACAGATTTATCAATCTCTTCAGTTCACCTTAAACATATTAAACAGAATTTGCAGCAATTCCTCGAATACAAAGTGCAGCCATTAATTTACGAAAATGATCTAATAACTCCAGAAAATATTATATGAAATATATACCCATTCAAAAATATGTTTCAAAGTTACACCTACCTTGCATAATGCTGTGCTCGGCTGCATCAGTTTTAGAGAGAACTCTTAAAGTCTTCTTTCAGAATGTTATTTAATGTGGACATAACTGTTTTCTTAATGGCTTCGACATCCTTAAATCTTGTTCACTTTCGGAAGAAAAAGTCTGCTAAGTCCAGAGAGTATGGAAGATGCCACATTTCTATGACCTCATGCTGAGAAAAGCTGCTGCTTCATAGGTAACATAATGCAACGTCAGGCCATTGTTATGCAGAAGCAGCCAACTCCCATTCTGATGAAAATGAGGCCTTATTTTGTGAACTCTTTTTGCAAAGTCTGGCAAGAAATTCTGTGTAAAACTGTCCCATGACAGTCTCGATAGGAGGAACAAATTTGCGATGAATTAGTCCTTTGCTATCGAATAAAGCAATTATCTTGAGTTTGGGCTTTTGGAATAATTTTTTTAAAAAAATCTTAATAAGCTCAAAGACCTGTCGTTTACTTTCAGGATCATACTGGCAACACCAAGACTCATCTCCCGCCACTATCAAATTGAGAAATGCAGGACCAGCATCAGCAAATTACATGAACATCATGATAGATAAAAAATATATCACTCAGCAAAATCTTCCTGAATTCCCAGAAAGAATACGGCATGGGACTGTGCATCGGCTATCCACCAAATGCTTTTCATCATCGTTTAATTTTAAATTTATTTAAGCAATTTAAGGCCAAAATACCGCATACCTACAGAAACTTTATGGCGATTTCTTCCATTGCTGGCAATTTTAACAAGTGCATATTTTAAGTAAAAAACAGCATAATTTACCTATAAAAATTATTATAGCTTGGATTGCCAAAAAAAAAAAAAAAGAAAAGAAAAAAAGAAAAAAGAAAAAGAAAAGAAAAGAAAAAAGCAATGCAGCTGCCTGACGAATGATTACGTACGTATATGGTTACCAGTGTTGGGCACATTCTGGATATTTGGTAACTGCCATTAATATGGTTACAATTATATGCAAGTAACTAATTATATCCAGTAATATCTAGTTGAATTAAGTTACTATATTTCTACGATTTTTAGACACACTCCATAATTTCAATGCTACCAACAGAAGCAGGGAAAATTTCAAAACAAATGAAATATGTTTAGCAATTTTCCCTGAAATATTAATTAGTATTTATTAACAGTGTATCCATTTAAATTAGTAACATAGAAAATTTAATTACTTGTAAATAATTATTACTTTAGAAAAATTTACTTTTTTACATGAACACCATTGTTAGCAACATTTATATGAGGAAAAACCTACACTTTAAGATTAAGAAACATGGCATATTATATGAAAAATTCACAAATTATGAATTTACGAGTTTCTTCCATAAAAAATATTTGAAAGTTAGTAATGTACACGAATAACATTCTAAAATGTTAACTAAAAATATATATTTCTATTTTAAAAATTACTTCCCATAAAAACACTTACTTATTTTTACTCCTTTTTTTTTTATTTAGTATTACAAAAAGAAATAATTTTGGTTAGATTAAGTAGCATAAGAGGAAGACAGACTTTGATCAACATATGCTGTAAAGGAAGATTGTAGAATTTAAGGACTTAGTCCTTAAAACTAAGAATTGCAGGAGTTTAGTTGCTAGTAGAGTTGGTTGGAAACATCTAGTTTAGAAGGCCTTGGCACATCCTAAGCTGTTGTACTATGGATAATGACGATGAAGCCGTATTTATTGCTTTATCTCAGTTCTTTAATATCACAAAACTGATTGTTAGACTAACACATAAAAAAAAAAAAAATAACATTACCTTTCAGACCAATCATCTCTTCTTCCCCTTTCTTCACGTCCACGTTCTTGGTAATCACTCCTTTCTCTTCGGAATTTGTCCCGCGCTCTCCGCCTATCGTATTCTTCGTCGCTATCACCCATTGCAACTAAAGGAACATATGCAATATTAATAAGTAAAATAGCACACACTCGAATGCAATTTTATGACTTTTCTGAGCACCTATGCAAAAAAGAAGATAATAATGATTTTAAAGCACTTTTCTTTTAATGGGAACAAATTCAGATATCACTAAAAGCTGACAATCTGGTTAAAATTCCGAAGCATATAAATAATTGACAAAATATTTATAATATGGTCAAACAAAATCCAAAGCAAAAATAACATATTCAAAATATTTTGAAAATGTTCAAATTCAGTTTTTTTTTTTTTTTTTTTTTTTTTTTTAATTTGTCACTGTTAAATCCTTTCCAACAGACTGAGTATATTATAGAACTATCAATAATATTTTCTTTAATAACTTTAACCTCTTAACTGCCGCAGGCATATATATATATATGCCTTTCTCAGCCGATGCATTAACTGCCCCGGGCGTATATATACATCCTTTAGAAGTGCTATTATTTGCTTTGCACTGCTACCAGTAAAATTATTCACAAAGCTCAAAAATGCAACACCACAATGACCTCGACAGAGTATGCAAAGGAGGATACTATTTCTGAGAAGCCGGAGGGGGGGATGTTATGACTGCATGCTTATTGGTCCTTTTTGTTTAAGTTTTTTTTTTTTTTTTTATTCGGTCTTCCGTTTTCATTTACTGTTTGTAGTAGGTACTGTTTTACGAATATATATGACAGTGAAATAGATTATTACTTTCCATCATCTTTAGGACCGAGCACCTCAGAATATAAGAGGCTGTTCACACATTTTTTAGACGATGTATATTGTATTCACAAAACTAAATTACATAAAATTCTTGTGTTTTAAATGTTCTAATTGACATCCCTTATTCTGAACTATCTTTCGACATTGCAATTTCCACGATAATAATGCCTTTTGAAGTGGGCAGAAGAGATATTCTTCCCATTCCTCCGACAACTTTCCTCCTGTTAGGGTTTTGGGACGTTTGGATAATGCAGTTTTTAAAAGTCCGAAAGCACAAAAATCCATAGGTGACACATCGGGAGATTCAGTAGGGATATCAGTGAAGGGTTATGGCCTTGATACCAGTTTTTTGTTCCATTTTTTTAAAGAAATTTACAGTGGATTTTGATGTGTGACTGCTAGCTTTGTCCTGATGGAGTCTCACAGATTGATAGTACTGTGGGTAAAGCGATGGTATTTCGTTCAGAAAAATTGGCAATAAAATATGTTCCTGATAGTATTTGAGTTAATCTTGACATTTTTTTGCACACTCTTTATTTTTAACTTGCTTCATCTATTGTGACAATTGTTTTCCATTTTTCTTTGGATAAGTGTTTCTCATATAGAATTCTGCAGCGTGTCCTGCGTTGAGCGATATGCTTTGGAAGAAGACGATGCACATCACGTTTTTTCGCTTTCTTAAGATTTAAATCAACATTTATCATTTTGTTTACAGTGGACACCAAGCATTTTAATGATTTTGCAATTGTCCTTTGACTAGGGGGATTTTCTTTTAACATTAAACAACGTACCTTTGCAACAGTCGAAGATGTCCGTTTATTCCTTGGATACTTGTTTGGAAATTTTGTCCCACTTTGGGCTCCAATTTGACTTTTTTTTCCTTTCTTGTTGATGATGTTACATATTGACGCTTTAGATATCACAAAACCATGACTCTCACATCGTTTTTGGATAACGGAGTATGCATATTTCTCTTCGGAAAGAGCATAAATGTAGCCTTCGAACCACTGCTTTGCTAAATTCGCCATTTTGAATAAAAACAAAACTTTCAAGCCACAGACCATAATTTTGACTTTTAAAAAACATAGTACAATTGCAATTACTTCTTTTGCAGCAAACAATATTTTATTACCGCTTACCAAAATCGTCTAAAAAATGTGCGAACAGGCTCTGTATTACGTCAAATGAAGAGGATTGAGACTATTCTCCAAAAGATGGTTTACATTGGGTACGACTTGATATGAGAAACTTGCCTATGCCACCTCCACACTTTTCATTTAGGTATACTGATTTTACAAGGTATAGCACTGGAACCTGATATTACACTTTACTGTCTAAACATAAATTGATCGAAGCTCCATTTTTTGAGATCTTTTTATTATATAAACATAATTTTTATTATACTTACATCTTTTTTATTATAATTTTACTCTAAACATATTTTCTATTTTTCTTTCTTCTTTATTTTGTGAAAGTAAATAGTTTCTAGACAGCAAAACTTGCACTTATTTCCCCCAATACATCACATAACTCGCACGCCTATGTAAAAAACGGTGGCACCGCGGAGTAAATCTTGTACGTTTTCCGAGGCAGTTAAGGGGTTAAGCAAAACTCTGGCAGAACAAATAAAAACTTTCTTTAATTTCCCGGCAAATTCCACTGTGCTCACTCTGGGGCAGAAGGCTATGGCCAACTTTTTTTTTTTTCTTTTTTTTTTTTGTTAATGCGAAAACAGCCTTTCATTTACTTTGATAATACAGTAGAACACCATTTATATGCCTTTCAAGGGACCATCCAGAAATGACATAAATGAAATTTTAATTTATGCTGTGACAGATTACATAATTTTACATATATACTTTCAATTTATTTAAATATTAATTATGCTCAAATTTAAAATTATAATTTTAAACATTTTTTATACATTTTTATACTAATATTTTAAAAACACGACTTTAATAAATAATATATTTACATGATATTAATAAATATTTAAAAAAAATTAAATTATAAGAATGCAAATTTCTGTACGTAGCTAGATTAGATTAGGGGGAAAATATATTTTTATTTGAATTACCATTTTGAATTAATAACATGTTTTTCTAAGAACATTTCACAGTAAATCTTAAAGTTTTTTAATGAAAAAGTCTTTCATTGTCTTACGTGTCTTGATTCTGAATCTTAACAAATTGCTATGAATGGAATAGTTCTTATAAGGTTTTCTCACTGGTATTATAAGGCACAAAGAAATTTCTCAGGGTGTCAATGCATTAGATAAAAGGTAGCATTTTAAAAAGGAGGTGGGATTTATTCTTCATTTTCTACAGAAAGTCACCAAATCGTGTACAGAGTTAGTTACTAATGCTGTATCATATATCTATGTGAAGGTTTGGTACCAAAAGTTCAAAAACAAGGACTATGACATTCAGGAAGCGCAGTACTCTGGCCAGCCTACAGATGATGATTTAGCCCGCCTGCGACAACTTGTGGAAAATCAGTATGCAACCACTTGTGCTTTAAATTGCATAAAACTTGATGCAGAAGATGAAACCGCAGTTCAATCACTGGGTATCGCATGAGCTGACTCAAGCAGTTAAGGACATATGTGTTCAGGCCTGCACTATCTACTCAAATATCAATGCAAAGACAAATTTCTGGACATGGTCGTTCCTTGAGATGAAAAATGGATTTACTTCAACAACACAGGTTAAAAGGGGATCTGCACTGGCAAGCTCATTGGCAGCATCGCAAAGTGCAATTTGACTAACAAAGAGATCATGCTTTGTATCTGGGATTATTGAGATATTATCCACAAAAAGTATCTGGAAAAAGGTAAAATAACAATAAAGTGTACAGTCTGGACTCTGTACAGACTCAAATGGGATCTTTAGCGACGCCCATCATGTAGCCATGACAGTGCTTTTTCGGACTTATACCTTTTTATACACCTTCAGCTACATCTTGCTGATGCTATCTTCCATTCTGCAGAAGACACCCGAAATGAGGTCGATCTATTTTTAGACTCATGGCCACCAAGTTTCTGGGCCAAAGGCTTTGAAAAACTACTAAAATGTTGGTAAAAAATCATAGATGTGGGTGTGGTAAGAATTTTGGTGGAAAATTTTTGTTACAACCAGATATTTTAACTGATGGTCTAGAACAGGGGTTCCTAACAGGGTCAGTATTAACCCAATGAGGCTCTATAGTCAAAGATGTACCAGCAACTGATCAGCACAATCAAGAATCCACTGATAGTAAAAAAAATTTATTGTTTGATACAGCTTTATATCATGTAACAAGGAATAAGTTATAAAAAAGAGGAAATATACTAAAGTTATTTGATATATTTTAAAATTTTTATGCAATAAACAAATATAAAAAAGTACTAGAACACAAAAAATATGAAGAACGCAAACCAAAAAGATGATTAAATATTTTTGAACAAGGTAAGGCCAATCTTTGGAATATGGTAACAGTCAGTTTGGCGACATTTTGGTAAGGCGATAAAGGTTACTAGCTAGGACTTCAGCAGTGTACATGAATATAGTCAAGAGTGTGCGCAATTCTGGGATGTTTTTTTAAGTGAAAATAGGTCGATGTGTACATGGATAATACCGTGTATGTGCAATTTGTAAAAAGGCAGCAACAGGCGTGTTTGTGGGACCCCAAAAAAATCCCCTGAAACTTTTACGGACTTACTACCGACATTTTGGAGTTTCGAGAAGGGGGGGTGAGAGAAATGAAAAATAACAATTATGAAGTATTGAATGACCTAATTATAAAAGTTCAATGAATTACTTTTTTTAACCATAAATTTTCAAACATATAAACTATTACATTTTATGTAAATATTTTAAATTACCTGAATTAATTCTTTAAAAAAAATTATCTAATTTCTGCTGCTTTTTTTTATTTTCTGATGTTTGTGGGCTTGTCTTTCTTTTTGTGTGAACTTCATAATTGCAGGAAGGGTTGACTTTTATTTTCCTCATCATTTACAGTTGAAGAAATTTCCTCGAGAACTGCACATGCAGAGGTAGAAGCAGTTTGCTTTTCTGCTGCTAATGTAGAAGGTTTTTCAGAGACTTTTATAGGTGACTCATCTGAAATACATGTTTTTTAAGTCCTCTTGATATGTTTTCCAACTTCTGTTCATATTCAGTAAGAGATCTTTGTGAATTGGATCAGTCATTGGATTTTTTGAGCCATATTTTTCACATGAGGTTTCTTTAGAAGCCATTAAATCAATTTTAATAGTCTGCA